TTTGTAACTTAGCCTCCGAGGATGAGGGCCGCGGTGTTTGTAACTTAGCCTCCGAGGATGAGGGCCGCGGTGTTTGTAACTTAGCCTCCGAGGATTCAGGACGCCAGCCCGCGGGAGCACAGTGACTAGGAGAATCCAGCAGTGGATGCCTTAAGCGTCGTGGGGACCGGGACTCCTGGTTCACTGCCTCCTCTGGGCTGCTCACAGTTGGCTCTCCCTGTGATGGGAATGCCGAGGAAATGCTGCTGCAGAGGAGGGAGTGAGTGTTAAGGGTGTTAAGACTTCTGGAAGACTGAGGCTGTAGTTCAGAGGCAGCCAGCGAGGGGCTGGGAGACAACTTACCTGATGCCTTGAGGACCTAAGCATTTTAAAAAGAAATTTTTGATTGTGATTTGGGTGCAAGTTTAGATAGCAGATTGATTTTCCATTCAACAGTCCCCACACATTCTGTTTTGTGACATTAAGACCTAAGGGTTTTCATTTGTGGAAGGTTCGGCCACAGCTGTGAATGCACAGGGACTTGTAATCATGATAACTGACAAGAGCCTGGGTAGGCCGAGTGAAGACTCCTCAAGTCTATGGAGACCTTTGGTAGAATCGTAAGGTGCCAGAAAGATCACCTTTTTCGGTTTTCCCTTCTAAATAGCCGGGCAGGCCAAAATAAAACAAAGAACAAGCTGGCTGAGGGGCTTGCTGGCCCAGGAGCGGGGCTCCGTGCAACAGCCCTGAAAGTTCCTGGTCACCAGCATACACCTGAGAAAGGTACACTCGGAGAGACGAGGCGGATATGTGTCGCCTTAGGGATGCTGTGCTTGGATTTACTTGGAATCCAGGGAACAGACTTAAAAACGGGAAATACTAGCAGTTTAACCAAAAGAAAAAGAAGGCAGATTTCTTTTGTTTCTCATAGGATCGGGCCTGCTGGTGTTTGGATTTTACAGCACAGGAAGATGCTGTTCCTAATGTGAGTGTGAGACGTGAAAAATAGTCAAGGTTGCTGGATGTGACCCATAGAACAACTGTGTTATGTGGTGGCCACACATAGCACCCGTGGTCACTGAACCCTGAGGGAACGAGTTGTTCACAAAGGAGCCACATACAGGAAATTAGGACCCCAAAGTCCTGTCTGTCTCCAGTCCTTTGAGAAACCTATGATGACAGAAAAGGAACTGAGTTACAACGTATTTGCCTGTATGAGAAAAACGAAAGCTCACGTCCATGAGGTCTTTGAAATTCATCAGCCAGAATTATATAGACATTGGGAGAACATTCCCTTCTTTGTTTGGACTCTTGATACTATGGTTAATTAATAATTTCCAAGTTACTATTTCTAATTGAATGTACAGGTGAATTGGTTCTTCTCAGTTTTTTCCTTGTTTCTTTTCAAGAGTCCCCTTTATGGAATTCTGTGTCGATAGGAAATGTCCCAGAGTAGTGATAGGCTTAGTTTGATCAGAATCGTTTAAATAAACTATAGGTTCTAATGTGACTGATGGGATGTGATTGCTGTAAGCTGCAGCCTCAACCTGCTTTTGACATTTAAACACATAAAGCTGACTAGATACAACCCTTCAGGTGCTAAATATATTTTACATCTACTTCTAACAGCAGAAATGGGAGTATTAAGAGGTCTGGCTTCATTGTCGTTGAACTGTGAAATATTCAACCTTGTCTGCTGGTGCTTAGTACTGTTGACTTTTTTATTTCTAGGAGAAGATTAAAATTAAATGCTTCACTTTTTTTTTGTCAGCTTTTGGAAATTAAATTGAAATTTAAGACTCTAAAATTTTTTACTGAGTGCTTCAATTTCAACAAAGTATTCTTGAAGGACCCCCCCTCCCCAAGGGCACTGCGCAAAATTCATTGATCAAATATGATTCATTGCGGTTTTTAAAAGTTGAGCTCTCTTTGTCTGTTTATTACAGTTCATATATTTTATAGTATACCTAACTCTACTGAAAGAGGTGGTTCACCATGTATGGACTCACTTTGATGTTAGAAATCCAGAACCATGTTGTGCTGGTTTTGAACAGGGATTTTTATGATACTGATGCATGTATTTGAAGTAGACAGTTGGACAATGGTGTACCCATGTTAGACCTGCAGAGAGGTGCTTCTCGGCAACGGGGGCTTGTCTGTGTGTCCCCATGTTTCACTTACCGTCTGTGTGTGGCTGACAATGAGTATCATTTAATCTCACTTCCTTGTGAAATGCTTTACAGTTTTTGTGGGGCTATGTGTTTGCATTTACCTATTTGTTTTGAAAGCGGTAGCAGCTACTGTTCAGTACTTTTGGTTGACAGAGTCATCACACGTTTTTGACCATAAAACCATCATAAAAACATAATTTGTCTATTGTATACAGTACATTATGTTATTAAAATAGCAATGTCATGCATCATTTGGGATAAATGACAGGAAAATCTGAAATTATATTGTCATCAAAGCCTGAGAAATCTGAGGAAACTAAGAAATTTATTGGATGATAAATATACTTTAAAAAACATCAGCTACTCTGTATGTATTTGAGTTTCTAAGTTGTCCCACTTTAAATGTTGAGTGACTTTAAAATATATCTTTATGAACTATAAGAAAAATATTTAAAATTATTTAGCTCATCACATCTACTTAGTCCTGCTTAGTTATGTCCCTTTGACTTTAAGTGTCAGAAATGGTACTGGAAGTTAGGTCCCCTCATGAGAACGTAGGTAGACTGTTTGCGGAATGCTGGTCTGTCCAAGGAAGGCCTATGGCACCGTGATGGATGTGCTTGGCTGCGGACCCAGAGGTTGGCAGTTGGAACCCACCAGCTGTTCCGTGGGAGAAAGGCGTGGCAGTCTGCTCCTGCGAAGGTTTACAGCCTTGGCAACCCTGTTGGGACAGTTACACTCTGTCCTCTAGGGTCACTATGAGTGAAACTGACTTGATGGCAGTGGGTTGGTTTTGTTCTGTTCAAATGATAAAGGAATGTAGGTATTCCATTTTGGGGGCAAGAATTCTTAACTAGATTAAAAATATGATTTGAGATTTACCCTCTTTTAAAATAATCAGTAATATTCAAATTCCAATCATACTTTCTGTTGCATTTACTTAGGATCAAAACCATTCAAGTGCAAGATATGCCATTTTGCAACAGCTCAGCTTGGAGATGCCAGGAACCACGTCAAGAGGCACCTGGGAATGAGGGAGTACAAGTGTCACGTCTGTGGGTAAGTAAATGGGCACCGTTACTGCCGTGGAGGACCAGCAAGCGTGTTCAGGGCATCCGTTGTTTTAGAACTCAGAACTGATACAAGTAAAAGCGCTGACAGTTAGACGTGCGTCGCCTCCCTTCCATTGTTATGGTAAATCCCTTCAATGCAGTTGGGACATTCTGCCCCCACTTCTCATCCCGTACTGAACATGAGCAATTTTATGGGCTACGAGGTCAATTTGAACCTGTAATCTGTAAATTGACTAAATTACAGGCTGTTCATTCACATTGCCAGCGAGAGCTGCAAATTCCATTTGTTGTTGTTAGGTGCCATCGAGTCGGCCCAGCTCATGGTGGCCTATGTGCGACAGAATGAAACCCTGCCCGATTGAGCACCGTCCTCTCAGTCGTCGCCATGTTTGAGCCTGTAGACCCCACTGTAAGGCGGGAGAATTGACATAGGTGGCTTTCGGAGCGTGGGCCCGTGCTGTTTTCCTCCTGCGCCTCTGCTTGAAGTGCCATCCCATTACTGGCTCTTTGGTTCCATTGGACACATTCTATAAGGAAAAAAAAGACTTAATTTCAGACAGCTGGTCACTAATTATTGTAGAGATGAAGCTTAAACAACAGTGTGTCATGTATGTTTTTGTGTAACTTTATTTCAGAAGATGGTGTTTTCCTTTTTTAGTTAGTGGTTATTTCCTCTGAAATATCATTCATAATGTTTAATTGTCACTCAAATGTGTTGCATTTAATAAGAAACACTGAGCTGCCTAATGCAAAGGTAATTAATTTAGCAGAAATGTTTAAAAGGTTTTCAAATGCCATGACATATATAGTATTTCGCTGGACTTTCAGAGTTGGATTTTAATACCTTACTTCTGATTAAAAATATATTTTAATGTTATTATGCTGGAGAAATGCACTCATAAGTGCATCATATAAAACAGTTTATATGAGACCTGGAAGCCTGCAGCCCTGTGGCTGAGTCACAGGGCTGCACAGCTTCAGTCAAGCTGTGTGGGGCACACAGCCGGCCCTAGGGCTCCAGCGCAGTGGAAGGTTTCTTCCGGTTGGCACTGCCATGTGAGTATCTTATCAGTCAGAGGCAGGGTCTGCTTTTTGTTGGACAGCACATTGCATCCCAGACTGCAGCTGCGTTTCTTGACCCTTAAGATAGTTTCGCAAATAACTTTGCAAGCAGTTTTACTTGCCACGGCCTGTGATTTATTCATTGGCAGGATTGATGGTTTCACTGACTTGCAGCTAAAGCAAATGAAGATGAACCTTTGCCCAAGAGCCCCCTGAAGATCAGTGGCAGAATGAGTTTTGTTCCTTCTGATTTTAGCTGTGAGGGTCAAGTGCCAAATGGCTCATTTTAATTGCTCGAGGCCCTGGGATTTGAAAATCCCTCATTTATTGTTTTTACCATGTGAGTTACAGGAAAGAGGAAGACCCTGACGCCAATGAAAATGTGCTATTAAATGGTAACGCGCAGCTTCTTCCTCATTTCTGTGAATTAAGGGAAACAGTCTAATCATTTTTGTCAGGGTTACTGAAACCCTGGAAAGAAAACATGAAACCTTTTCAATGAAGGGAACGGTTTCCGACATCTGTAGCATCAAAACAATGCAGACTTGATTGGCTTTAATTGTAAAATTTGAACAATGCATACTTGACTTAGCTAATTGCTTACCACATACAACTAAGGGTTGCACCAGTATTTTTGCTATTTGATTTGCAAGATACAGAATTAACAATAAGCACACATACATTGGGTTTTGTACTGCTATCATAGGGTTCTGTCAATATGTGTGTGAGCATGTAGAAAAATTCCAGCTTCCAAAAATGTATCTCATAGAATTGTGGTAGTCATTGAACTTCATCTGGTGATGAAATAATAATTTCCTTAACTTTTAAAATGAACTACGATTTGAAAGTTACAGAACAATAGGGTAGATACTATCACCATGAAGATATAAGTTCGAAAGAATTGCAGTAAACCAAAGAATGCCAACAACTCATCTGCATAGTTGAAATGTGACCGGACTGAGTTAGGTTTCCTTTCACGTAAAATGAAAAGTGTCCTCCGTGGTTCTGTATTTTAGGGCAGTATGTACGTTAAACATTATAAAGTGGAAAACCTAAGAAAATGGGTGTGTTGGATGTGAGGTGAGTGGCACTGCCGAGCACGGGTACGTTCCGTCCCTGACAATGTCAGTTCATTATTGCCAATGGCCAACAATCCCCGAAACACTAGGGGGGCCTGCTAGTCCCTCAACGTGAGCAGCTCAGGCTGCGTTTCTTCATGAGCTTGAATTGCTAGAAAGCTTACCTTTTAAAAAATCAGGCTTTAAAAGGTGAAGTGATCTTTCAGGACATTAACTCTATAATTCTGTCACAAACAGAAGTCCCGCCCTGCGGTTGCCTTCGACAGTGGTTAATATCTTAGTGCCGGCTTTTGGAGTTTCAGGTTATTTTTCACACAATCCCGCTTCAGTACCAGTGGATTGTCATCGTGGGGCAGGTCCACGTTGAAAGTGAAATTATTACTCATAGTTCTCTGCTCTCTTGGTTCGTGGTAACTTGGTTTTCTTATAAAACCTAATGTTTTACGGTGAAGTTGATGGAGACGGTGAGCTTGAAGAGATGGTCAAAATGCATTTTGGTGTGCTGAGCTCATTGCGAACGGCTTGGCCTCTGACTCCGTTTCCAGGTCCTTACCTGTTTTCATATGGGGAGATTTAGGGGGCCCTTAACGACTTGGGTTGTGTTTTTTGCTACGGCTTAGTGTCAGGGTTTGCCTGAGCAACTTCCTTAACAAAAACTGCCTTTAAAACTTTAGTACAGGTTGTCTGACCCTAAGCTGATTTTCTTTGTGTCTTAAAGATCCATTTTAAGACACTATTTTCCCCTCACTGGCAGATCTTGGCTACAGTATATCGTAGATTGAATTGAGTTTGAGGTAAGCAGCTGAATGCGTTGGCTGATTCCTACTAGGTACCTGGGGTTCCGAGTTCAGGATTTCTGTTTTTTTGCCCAGGGTTTATGTGCTCTCCTCACAGTGAGGGAAGAAACAATGCATTGTTTAGCACTTCACATCTTAAGTGCTTGTCCTAGGTGACTGTTTCAAAGCGTTTGTTTTACTTTCACTTTAAGGGAAGCGGCTTTGAACAGTACAGTGTGGTAGGAATGTTTGTCTTAAATGAGCTTGACCTCAGGGGAGTGCTGCAGGCTCTAGGGGCCTTGGCAGGTAGTCACAATGTAGGTCCCCTCGGGCTGATGGAGGGCTTAGGTGCAGAGGAAATCAGAATCCTAGAAAGACCACTACACAGAAGTGAATTTTGTTGGGAACGTATGTTTAAAAATAAGTCAAACACATATTTTTACTAATTCTGTCATCTCTTAACTTTGTGTTTTCCAGTAGACAGGAACTTGAAAATCTCAGTGGTTTAAGAAAGCCGTCATAGGTACCTTGTGTTGCTGAGTTCTTTTAAATAAATTCTTTGATTTTCACATTGTGTGTGTGTGTGGGGGACATACGTAGAGCTCCGAACTCTCACGTTCACGTTTCTGCAGCGCTTGGTGGGCTGGGAAATGCCTTCATGAACAGTCACCGTGTCTGCTGACCTGTAGCTTGATGAGACCCCGATCCTGGAGATGACCCTCAGGAGGTCGCTGTTCCCGCTTTCTGGAGGGACGCCCGTGGCTCGGAGTGTTTTCTGCCATGGCCTTGGGTGATGAGCTCGTGGTGGACTGCTGACTGCCGTCGTCCTTCCCCTCTATTACTCCTTTGCTTTACATTGTTTTTGGTTACTGACTTTAATTTGTACATTGTTGCCTCTCGAGGTTGTTTGTAGATATGTAGGGAGTTAGAGTGCTAGAGTTACATGTGGTGTGACTGTGTTTTTGTAGTAGCTGTAACTTGTCCTCGCCTCCCCCCTTTATTTTATTCTGCTTTGCTCGGATTTTATAATTGCCCACACCATCTTTTCCATGAATGTTGTGATAGTCATTCTTTCTCGTATCTCTCTGTTTCACTTTCCCCATTGTAGACATTGTTTGAAATAATTTTATTCCTTTTCTCCATTCTCCTTCATGTGCTGATAATTTATTGCACCTGACAAAATGGACGTGCTGGTTTCATGATGGAAAGAGCAGTGCCGAAACTTGTGCAGAGGATGTCGCGTTTGCATCCTGGATTGGGGGGGGGTCAACCGGCATGGCTCATCGTTTCTGCTTTCTTGTGTGAGTTGCTTTTAGGAAGTCAGTGGGAGATTAGTTGCTGGGCTGATTTCAGTGAGTGCAGACGGGACAGCGCATGTATCCTCTGTGCCACTGCCCAGACGTGGGTCCCCCAGACTGCCCAGCTTAGTGGGGACATCCTCCCGGGTGGCTTCCTGTGTCCAGTCGGGATTCTCATGGACTGAATGAAATAGTTGCGTAAGATTTGCCTGATGAGAACAGGCTCAGGGCATGTTCCAGTTTTGCCACCTCTGGTTCAGGACCAGATTCTAGACGTACCCTGGTTTGGGGCTTCCTTGGCTTGGGACGTGTTCATCATTAGTTGGTTAGGAGGCCTTCAGGAGAAAGTTGCTAATGTGGGAAGCTCTGTGTGTGTGGCATCACCTAGTTTGTGCATTCGAAGGGTCTCCATGTAGATGATTATAATGTCACTTTCTGACCTTTGCAGCTTGAATAATTGTAAATCATTGCTTCATAACGTGTCAGGGAATGTCTGTACTAGGCAATTAAATGGCAGAATATAATAGACCAAATTATTGCCTGTCATGTTTTCAACAACACAGTTACAACACAGTTAGTATTTGAGTTACACTTAATCATCACGTGCATTAGCGACTTCATTGGGATCCAGCTTCAGGCTGAGCGTGAAATGCATTACATTATTTAAACCTCTAATGGTACAAGTCATTTATTTGTGTTGAAGTGTACAACATGCAGAGTTTTGTAAAGCAAGGAACACTTGAGAGCCTAATTTATCCAAATCAAAGTCTA